CCTGTGCAGTTTTGGGTAGGTATTAGCCCCGCCTCTGCCTCACCATAAGCCCCGCCCTGCCTCAATATTTTTTTTTTTAAATAGACCTGGGTGGAGAATAATGAAATCCTCCACCCAGGTACCTGTTTTAGCTCACCTGACACCGGCCATGTGCGAGCTGTGTCGGCCACATGGCACTACCTGATCCATGGCGCCCTGTGCGGCTGCACAGCTTGCACACCCATAAGGCCGGCCCTGTATGTCACCAGGAAATCAAGTGGATTAGCTAATTTTAGCGGGAGCAGTTAGAACGCACGTTGAAGTTCGGTTCTGGTACTCACTGGCCAGCAGGTTTTAGTTTGCCTGACATCGGAGGAGAACATCTTCACCTTATGTTGCTGTCACTCGAAGCTAAAGTAGTTTTGATGTCTATAGCATGCCTTTAAAATCAAGGCCTATGTGTCTTCCCGTTTGAGCTACTTTTATTTTTTACCTTGACTTCTTAAATACTATCATGTCCGTCGATCTTTCGTTTTAATTTAACTCATTGTTTCAGATGGACAGAATGGATCTCTTAAAAGAGAAGAAATGGGCAAACGGATAAAGAAATACCAGTACCACTGATTTTTAATTTTTCATGGAGTAACGGAAGTTTGAGGAAAATTGTAAATAAATGTTAGTTTGTTTTATCCGGAGATCCTCTCTTAAAGGAGTCCCCAAAAAGCCATCTATAGAGGAATACCAAGTATAAAAAGTAATCTAGTCAAAAGTAGCTTTAGGAATGAGAAAAGAGCAACACAACTTTCCTTACTGAGGAGGTGGGATTTTTCCAATGTGGCTACTGTCTGGCCTGCAGGGGAACAGGAGCTCATAGAAAAGTGATGAAGGAACTAGAGGGTAGCATCATGGGCAATACATATAAAATTAAACAACTGCCATAGTAAGAATTGCATTTACATCCTTACCTGTCCATGTAACTTACAGTATGTGGGGAAAAACACACGACAGATATGTACACGTGTTGAGGAACATGTTCGAAACATTCGTAAGGGCTTTAAAGAACATCCACTATCCTTACAATTTACACTTAAACATAATAGTGATCCCACCAAACTTAAATTCTTGGGGATGGAAAAAGTTATTAGAGACTGGAGAGGGGAAGATCACGATAAAAAATATGCACAACAGGAGATGAGGCGGATCTTCAAATTAAAATCACTATCCCCTAGGGTCCCCGATGGGGACTTTGAGATCTGCCAAAGTTCTGAGACAATTTTGTATATTTTTTCTGTGCTCTAATAATCTTTCTTTTTTTTTTTAGATTTTGTTTAAAAACATTATAAAACAGTTTTTTTTTAAATTATATTTGTATTTGCACATACATTAGCTGCTGAGTATAGTTATTTAGGTACATGGTGATACATAGATTTAATCATGTTATAAAGTAGATGTGGATTATCCACTAAATCAAAATTTCTAATATTTACCCAATTAATTCTTTGGGGTCAGTCTTCAACTTGACAAGGAGTTGGGACATTCTACACAACTCCAGTCTGAGTGGGGATACTATATCTACTGAGTTCAGAGCTGACCTGAAGGACTCTTGAATATGTGAGTGTCCTTTGTATCAGCTGAATGAATACCACTTTTATACAGTCTGCGCTATGGCGCCTGTATGTTTCTTATTAACAGATTTGCTGCTATCGTGAGATACCTATACCATTTGTGCGCGAACACCTCATTTTTACAAAGAATACATGTACAGGCCCGTCTGAAGTTTTTTGCCAATGAACATCTGAATTATTCAGAGGAGAACTGGGCGAAAGTGTTGTGGTCAGATGAGACCAAAATCAAGCTCTTTGGCATCAACTCAACTTGCTGTGTTTGGAGAAGGATGAATGCTGCCTATGACCCCAAGAACACCATCCCCACTGTCAAACATGGAGGTGGAAACATTATGCTTTTGGGGTGTTTTTTCTGCTAAGGGGACAGGACAACTGCACCGCATCAAAGGGACGATGGACGGGGCCATGTACCATCAAATCTTGGGTGAGAACCTCCTTCCCTCATTCAGGCATTGGCGGATCCAGGGAGGGCAACGGGGCAATTGCCCCCCTCGCCTCCCGAGAAAATAGTGAGGCCGAGGCTTTTCCCCTATCCAAGCACCAGCCCTGCTGATTACCTTCACAGACCGGAGGGGAAATCAGTGATCTTCCTCCCCGGCCCACACAGGCACATTGCTGAACGACTGGCAGGGGAGGGAGAGAACCCGGGGGAACTCTTACCTGCAGCTCTGCCAGGTTCTCTTCTCGCGAGCTCGGAGCGTTGCTGCGGTTACCATGGCAACGCTCTGTTCTCGCGAGAGTGTACTCTAGCCTGAGCTGCAGGTTAGAGTTCACTCCCCCACTAGAACCACCAGGGATTGGAAGAAAACAATGTCTCCCCCTTCCTCAGCACAGGCAAGAAGGGAGGGGGGACATTATCTATATATTAAAAAAAATATATATCTTTAATCTGCCCCCCTATCCCCTCACACACTGCACCGCACACAGCCCCCCTTACATACACAGCCCCCCCCTTACATACACAGCCCCCCTTACATACTGTCACGTATTCATCCGCTTATAAAAATGTGATTAATGGAATTTACTGCCCACACAGGAAAAGTTGTGCCAAGCAACAGCCAGATCCACAGAAGGGTTAATGCTGAGCAGCAATATGCAAATTGGAACCTGGTTACTGCCCTTGGGTCAAAGGCTGGTTATAGCCTCTCAGATCTAAAGGAGCGGTATTTAGGCCCAGTTCTCATCCTGCTCAGTGCCCTGTTGTGGTTTCCCTTGTGGTTGTCCGAGAGCTCGTTATTGATTCTGGTTATTCTGGTTATTTGACTTACTTCCCTGTTTTCTGGCATCCCTGACTCCTGGCTTTTCCTTATCGTTGTGTCTCTTTCTGTATCCCTTGACCTTGGCTATTCCTGACTATTCTTTGGTACGTTAGTCCGGCCATTCTAAGGTCCGGTATACGTTAACTATCAGTCCTCTGTGTTACACAATTCTACGTGCTGGATCATTCTGTAATCCTGACATTACGACATGGCCATAGATCCTGTAGAATTGTGTAAGCACATAGCTGCTTGTGAAAGCAAACTGGAGGATAATGATCACCGCATGGATCAATTTGCCCAGGCCTTCAGTACACTTCTTACCCGAACAGCGCATCTGCAACCTGCGGCCTCACCTCCACCTTGTGTACCTCCAGCTATAGTACACAAGGCACCTACTATCTCCTTATCTCCTCCCCTGCATTTTGATGGTAATATGAATCAATTAAAAGGTAAAGCTGTAGCTTGGGCCAATCGATTATGGGAGATTAATAGGAGTGTGGCACATAATTACCAGGAGTTCCTTACAGAATTCAAACTTACGTTGACGCCTCTACTACCCTGATGCACATCAGATAAGGGAACCGGTCTATCTCGGAATATGCCATAGAATTTCGTACCCTAGCTTCCAAGGTAGACTGGACTAATAGTGGGTTAATTTCTGCATTTAAAAAGGGTTTATCTGAAACTATGCTAGAAGAGATTGCCGCCAAAGACTTACCCAAAAAGCTTAATGAATTTATCACTTTTGTCATGCAGATTGATAATAGATTAAGAACCAGAGAAGCTACTAGAAACAAGACCAGATGCATGAGTATGCATTTAGCACCCCGTTTCTCCAGACCTATTGTCCCTGAAATTCCTGTACAGTCCGAAGCCGAACCCATGCAGTTGGGGGTCACTAGACTGTCGGAAGCAGAAAGACAATATAGGAGAAAAGAAGGCCTATGTTTATACTGCGGTAGGAAGGGACATATGAGAAACAATTGTCCCATACATCCGGAAAACTACCGCACCTAAGCACCTTAAGGGGACAGGTCTTAGGTGTAATGGAAACGTCCTCTGAAAATAATAAAAATAGGTTTCTCCTTGACATTTCTATCGCCTTTGACAAAAAGAACTTTTCATGCAAAGCCCTGATGGATTCAGGTGCTGCTGGAAACTTAATCAATGTTCAATTTGTCAAAGGTAATACTATACCTATCAAAGAGAGATTATCACCCCTAGCTGTTGAAGCTATTGATGGGAGACCACTCTCACAACCATTGATAACGCATGAAACCTTACCCATTAACATTTCCATTGGTGCCTTACATAAGGAAGAGATTACATTTCAGGTGATTGCATCTCCTTCTTGTCCTATTATATTAGGATTCCCTTGGCTTAGCAAGCATTACCCTCATATTGACTGGGCTAATGGGGAAATATTAGAATGGGGTAAGGATTGTAATGAAAGGTGCATACTGCATGTCACCAAAAGAGTGGGCACTATTGAATTACCCACTAGTACACCTCAAAATCCCAAGATCCCTATACAATACCAAGACATTAAAGAAGTGTTCAGCAAGACTCACTCTATTACTCTACCTCCTCACAGACCATATGACTGTTCCATTAACTTACTACCAGGCGCTATGCCACCTAAGGGAGCAGTCTATGCTCTATCTCCTCAGGAGAGTAGTGTAATGGAGGAATATATTAAAGATTCATTGAATAAAGGCCATATACGAAAATCATCCTCGCCTGCTGGTGCAGGATTCTTTTTTGTATCTAAAAAGGATGGTGAGTTGCGCCCATGTATCGATTACAGGGCATTGAACAAAATCACCATTAAGAACGCCTACCCCATTCCTCTTATTGCTGAATTATTTGACAGACTCCAGAGCACTAAAGTGTTTACCAAGCTTGACCTTAGAAGCACTTACAATTTAGTGAGAATCAAGGAAAACCACGAGTGGAAGAGTGCATTTAATACCAGAAGTGGACACTATGAATATCTAGTGATGTCATTCGGGTTGTGCAATGCTCCAGCGGTTTTCCAAGATTTCATTAACGATGTACTCAGGGATTACATTTACTCATTTGACTTGGTCTATCTGGATGATATCCTTATTTATTCTCCTGACCTCCAATCTCACCACGATCACGTTAAACAAGTTCTGCAAACCTTGTTAAAAAAACAACTTTATTGTAAATTGGAAAAATATATCTCTGACCAGTCTGAAGTACAGTTTTTAGGATATAATATTTCTACCTCTGGGTTTCAGATGGATCCTAAAAAACTAGAGTCTGTTCTACAGTGGCCTTTACCCACTGGGTTGATAGCCATTCAAAGGTTCATTGGTTTCTCCAATTATTACAGAAGATTTATAAAGGGATTTTCTTCAGTAATAGCCCCCATCACCAATATGACACACAAGGGGGCTAGTAGTACGATATGGTCTAAGGAGGCAATTGAAGCCTTTGAAACTCTCAAACAGCGGTTTGCCTCCGCCGACATATTGATACATCCTGACACCAGTAAGCCTTTCATACTGGAGGTTGATGTTTCAGAGACAGGGGTAGGGGCAGTTCTCTCCCAGAGGGAGAGCCAGGAAACTCCGTTACATCCTTGTGGTTACTTTTCTAGAAAGTTGTCTCCTGCTGAGCTCAATTACGATATTGGCAATAGAGAATTGTTGGCCATTATTCTAGCTCTCAAGGAGTGGCGACATCTTTTAGAGGGTTCCAAGGACCCCCTTTTGATCATTACTGATCACAAAAACCTGGCTTACATAGGAGATGCTAAGCGATTATCTTCTAGACAAGCTAGGTGGTCTCTATTTCTTTTTCGCTTTAATTTTCTTATCACCTACAGACCTGGTTCTAAAAATGTCAAGGCTGATGCCTTGTCCAGGCAATTTGATACTGAGACTATACTAGAGCAAGAAATGTCCCATATCATTCCCCCAGAATGTATCATTGCGTCCACTGTCCTTTCATTGTCCTCTCCACTGCTTGGCTCCATCATGGAGGCTCAGTCTCAGGGGCCCTGCGGTAAACCTCACGACAAACTGTTTGTTCCATTGGGGGAAAGGGTTGTAACAAATTGAAGAGCCTGACCTGCTTTTATGGGGATTTTACTATACAACAGTTTGGGACTTTTAAGCATTCATCATACGAATGCAAACTACCGAATACCGGACCACCCTGCTCCCTAATTATGGGTAATTTACCTCCCTGATCCGCAAATACATTTCGCATAGAAAACCCACGAACGCTTTGTGAAGTGCCTGGGTGGCTGCCATTTCGGGACTTACACGTGTTCGCGGCCATCTTAACTCCCGAACAGCGGTGTTTTGCCGTCGAGTGTCTGGAACTAAAATCGGACACTCGAGTAGGCGAACACCGCTGAGACCTCCATAGCACCGGGAAATCGTGCTAAAACTACCGAACAACCTGCCGTTCGGTAGAAAGACTTAATAGCCTATGGGGATTCTGGCGAACGTCGAGTTATGCACGGATGGCAAGCCGTTCGGGACTTTTTATGCACGAACAAAGACCGACCGCAAGTCCAAAACTCATGGAACTATTTTCGGCCACTTTGCCGGTGCGGTCGGTTAAAACTTTAAAGCTCCATATCTCCCGAACCACTGAACCAAATGAGCTGAAATTTTACTATGTTGGTCCCCCAGAATAGGATTTATGTATGTACCCCAGGTATTTGGGGTACATCCAAAACTTGGGGAAAAATGTGTCTCTGATAATTGTGTTACAAGCTTATCTGAGGGGAGGAGATGTGTGGGATGTACCTTATGTTTTATTGGTTGTTTTGTTAATTATGTGGGTGTCTCCCTTGCATGGGCAGAATCACATAAAAAGAGAGTGCCTGCCATTAAAAGCCAGTTCTTCTTGACCCTTCAAAACGTAGCCTTGTCTCGTTATTGAAAGGGAATATGCAGCATAATCACTTAGCTCTTTTAGGAGCTCTACCTGACTCCTGCCTTGGATCCAGTGGATGGGAATATGCGACTCCATTACTATACAGCGACTTGCCGGGAAGAAAAGGACATCTCCAATGGCTGATAACCTCCTACTACCTGGGTAGCCGTTACAGGGTTAATATCATGAAGGTGTTTCACGACAATGTGTCTGCTGGTCACCCAGGTATTAATAAATCCACTTCTGCTATCATGAGGTTATTCTGGTGGGATTCCCTCAGGAAGGATGTTAAGGAATATGTGCAGGCTTGTTCTGTTTGTGCGGTTTCCAAAGTGCCTCATAAACTCCCTTGTGGCTTGTTACATCCTCTTCCTATTCCTGAGGTCCCACTTGTCCATGGACTTCATTGTTGAACTTCCTAGTTCTAACGGTTATACCACCATTCTCATGGTTGTGGACCGGTTTTCTAAAATGGCTCATTTTATTCCTCTCAAGAAATTGCCGTCATCTCAAGACCTGGTACCAATCTTTAGACGAGAAATTGTCCTTCTGCATGGCATTCCTCACAATATAGTATCTGACAGAGGTTCTCAGTTTGTGTCTAGGTTTTGGAGGGCCTTCAATAATCAGTTAGGGATTGAATTGTTTTTTTCATCCTCTTACCACCCCCAGACCAATGGTACAGCTGAGAGGGCTAACCAGTCCTTGGAATTATATTTACGTTGTTTTGTTAATAGCACTCAAGACAATTGGTCTGAATTACTACCATGGGCCGAGTTTGCTAGGAACAATGCTGACCATGACTCCTCTGGGCATAGTCCATTTTTTGTTAATAATGGCCTGCATCCTACTGTCCTACCGGCTGTTTTTTCTGATACATCTATTCCTGCTTTGGATGACCATCTGGCTTCCATCCGTGATACCTGGGTTAAAGTTCAATCTGCTCTGGGTACTGCTGCTGACCGTTTCAAGCACTATGCTGATACACGTCGAGGTGCCAACCCTGTTTACTAAGTGGGTGAGAGGGTTTGGTTATCTTCTCGTAACATCAGGCTCAAAGTCCCTAGCATGAAATTTGCTCCTAGGTTCCTTGGACCTTTTCGTGTCCTTTGTAGGATCAATCCTATTGCGTACTCTCTGGCCCTTCCGGCTTCCTTGAAAACTCCTAATACCTTTCATGTGTCCTTGCTCAAACCTCTTGTTTGCAATAAATATACTGTCTCAAGTGTCCCTCCTCCTCCCTTAGTTGTTTCTGGACAGGAAGAGTATGAGGTCTCCTCCATAATTGATTCCAGGTTTTCTCGGGGCACTTTACAGTACTAGGTGGATTGGAAAGGTTATGGACCAGCCGATCGTTCTTGGGTTCCGGCATCTGATATACATGCTGGCCGCAAGATTTGCTATTTTCACACCAAATTTCCTCTCAAGCCTGGTCCTGTCCACCCGGTGGGCGTTCTTCAGGTGGGGGGGGGGGTAATGTCACGTATTTATCCGCTTATAAAAATGTGATTAATGGAATTTACTGTCCACACAGGAAAAGTTGTGCCGAGCAACAACCAAATCCACAGAAGGGTTAATGCTGAGCAGCAATTATGGAAATGGAAACCTGGTTACTGCCTTTGGGGTCAAAGGCTGGTTACAGCCTATCAGATCTAGAGGAGGGGTATTTAGGCCCAGTTCTCATCCTGCTCAGTGCCCTGTCGCGGTTTCCCTTGTGGTTGTCCGAGAGCACGTTATTGATTCTGGTTATTCTGGTTATCTGACTTTGGCACTGTTTTTGACTTCCCTGTTTTCTGGCATCCCTGACTCCTGGCTTTTCCTTATCGTTGTGTCTCTTTCTGTATCCCTTGACTATTACTGACTATTCTTTGGTACGTTAGTCCGGCCATTCTAAGGTCCGGTATACGTTACCTATCAGTCCTCTGTGTTACACAATTCTACGTGCTGGATCATTCTGTAATCCTGACACATACACAGCCCTCCCCCTTACATACACAGCCCCCACTTACATACACAGCCCCCTTTACATACACAGCCCTCCTACATACACAGCCCTCCCTCCTACACACACACACACAGCCCCCTACACACAGCCCCCTACACACACAGCCCCCCCTTACACACACACCCCTACTTACACACACAAACCCCCTACACACACAGCTCCCCCATCCCCTCACAAACTATAACCCCCTACACACTGCACCACACACAAATATACAGCCCTCCACACACACAGCCCCCCTTACACACACAACACACAGCCCCCTTACACACAGCCCCCTTACACACACATCCTCCCCTTACACACACTGCCTCCCCATAAACTACATAGCCCCCAATACACACACACTGCCCCCACTTAAACACACTGCCCCAATAAACACACAGCCCCCCATACACACACAAACACACTGCTCCCAATATACAAATTGCTACCCCATACATACACTGCACCCCTCTCACACACGCACTACCCCTCCATACACATACTGCAACCCTCACATACACTGCACCACTCACACACACACACAATACAGCCACTATCCCAGCAGTTTTTTTTAAACGGTTTGACTACTTACTCTGGGAGGGCACCACAGCAAATCCTGGCACCAAAACCACTACAGAGAGCTGTAGTGGTTATTGTGCCTGGATTGTTTCTTAAAATGATCTGCCAGTGCCCCTCCCGAGATTAGCTTCTGGATCCGCCACTGCATCCAGGGCATTGAATGGGTCATGGAATGGGTCATGGATGAGTATTTCAGCATGACAATGACCCAAAACACACAGCCAAAGCAACAAAGGAGTGGCTCAAGAAGAAGCACATTAAAGTCCTGAAGTGGCCCAGCCAATCCCCAGACCTTATTCCCTTAGAAAATCTGTGGAGGAAGCTGAAGGTTTGAGTTGCTAAATGTCACCCTCAAAACCTTAATGACTTGGAGAGGATCTGCAAAGAGGAGTGGGACAAAATCCCTCTTGAGGTGTGTGCAAACCTGGTGGCGAACTACAAGTAACGTCTGACCTCTGTGATTGCCAGCAAGGGTTTTGCCACCAAGTACTAAGTCAAAGGGGTCAAATACTTATTTCACTCATTGACATGCAAATCAATTTATATGTTTTTTGACATGCGTTTTTCTGGATTTTTTTTTTTTTTTTGTTATTCTGTCTCTCACTGTTAAAATACACCTACCGGATCATTTCTTTGTCAGTGGGCAAATGTTCAAAATCAGCAGGGAATCAAATACCTTTTTCCCTCACTGCATGTGTCATATATATGTATAATGTAATAATTTACACATAACTGCAGAATGTCAGTTTCATTTTTCCTTTGTCACCTCCTTGCCTTTGATGTAATTCTGTTTTTACTATCTTTCTTTTCACCAATCTCTATTTTCAGTTTTATTTACTATGGTCTTTCCATTACACCAGTCTTTCACAACATCTCT